GGGGCCTTCGGTGGAGCTCCCTATGGGGCCACGAAACGTGTGAGGGGTGTGCCAGAATGGGGGGGTGGCACCGCATGCGGGCGCAGCCACTGGGGCCTTCGGTGGAGCTCCCTATGGGGCCACGAAACGTGTGAGGGGTGTGCCAGAATGGGGGGGGGGAACCGCATGCGGGCGCAGCCACTGGGGCCTTCGGTGGAGCTCCCTATGGGGCCACGAAGAGTGGGATGGGGTTATCGCCGAAGGGAGGGGGGGTGGAAGCGCATGCGGGCGCAGCCACTGGGGCCTTCGGTGGAGCTCCTTACGGGGCCACGAAACGTGTGAGGTGTGTGCCAGAATGGGGGGGGTGGAACCGCATGCGGGCGCAGCCGCTGGGGCCTTCGGTGGAGCTCCCTATGGGGCCACGAAACGTGTGAGGGGTGTGCCAGAATGGGGGTGGAACCGCATGCGGGCGCAGCCACTGGGGCCTTCGGTGGAGCTCCCTATGGGGCCACGAAACGTGTGAGGGGTGTGCCAGAATGGGGGGTGGAACCGCATGCGGGCGCAGCCACTGGGGCCTTCGGTGGAGCTCCCTATGGGGCCACGAAACGTGTGAGGGGTGTGCCAGAATGGGGGGTGGAACGCATGCGGGCGCAGCCACTGGGGCCTTCGGTGGAGCTCCCTATGGGGCCACGAAACGTGTGAGGGGTGTGCCAAATGGGGGGTGGGCCGCATGGGGGCGCAGCCACTGGGGCCTTCGGTGGAGCTCCCTATGGGGCCACGAAACGTGTGAGGGGTGTGCCAGAATGGGGGGGGAACCGCATGCGGGCGCAGCCACTGGGGCCTTCGGTGGAGCTCCCTATGGGGCCACGAAACGTGTGGGGGTGTGCCACGAATGCGGCGCAGCCACTGGGGCCTTCGGTGGAGCTCCCTATGGGGCCACGAAACGTGTGAGGGGTGTGCCAGAACGGGGGGTGGAACCGCATGCGGGCGCAGCCACTGGGGCCTTCGGTGGAGCTCCCTATGGGGCCACGAAACGTGTGAGGGGTGTGCCAGAATGGGGGGTGGAACCGCATGCGGGCGCAGCCACTGGGGCCTTCGGTGGAGCTCCCTATGGGGCCACGAAGCGTGTGAGGGGTGTGCCAGAATGGGGGGTGGAACCGCATGCGGGCGCAGCCACTGGGGCCTTCGGTGGAGCTCCCTATGGGGCCACGAAACGTGTGAGGGGTGTGCCAGAATGGGGGGTGGAACCGCATGCGGGCGCAGCCACTGGGGCCTTCGGTGGAGCTCCCTATGGGGCCACGAAACGTGTGAGGGGTGTGCCAGAATGGGGGGTGGAACCGCATGCGGGCGCAGCCACTGGGGCCTTCGGTGGAGCTCCCTATGGGGCCACGAAACGTGTGAGGGGTGTGCCAGAATGGGGGGTGGAACCGCATGCGGGCGCAGCCACTGGGGCCTTCGGTGGAGGGGGAGAAACGTGGAGGGGTGTGCCAGAATGGTGTGGGAGGGGAGGAGGGGGAGGGGGAGGAGGAGGAAGGAGGAGGAGGAACGCGGGGCGACGTCTCTTCAAAACGAGGACCCAACACCACAGGATGGTTGGGAAATAAGGAGGTAGGACACATAGGAGGAGACGGATGATTATGTCATGAAGAAAACGAGGAGAATGGAGAAGTAGGAAAAGTAGGAAGAGTAGGAGGTCGAACGAAGGGGGGTCATCTCGTGATTATTCAATTGAACGCCCCTGTGGGGGCAGACACCGCCGCCCCACTTTCTGGAATCCTGAGGCCTCGTAGACCCGGCAGGCTTCAATGGGTTGTTCTTCTTTTAATTCCCTTTGGGGGGCTCGGGGGGCTCCCAGGCTCCGCAGGCCAGGTAGTCGTTGTACACTGACTGGCATGTTTGGGCATATATCCATTACACGTACCACAGGGCTCCGTGCGGTTGTGAGGCCTTCTGAAGCGTACTGTTCTCTTCAAGGAAGGCCCAGTAGCCTTTGCAGGTATCGTTGGGTCATGGGGCTTGTGGGCCTCATGAAGCGTACGGCTCTCGTCGGAGTAGGCCCCATAGCCTTTGCAGGCCTCATTGGGCTCGCTTGTCTGTGACGTTTGAGGCGGATCGGTTTTGGTAGAATTCCCCCTGGAGGGCTCAGGAGTCTCGCAGGGCTTGGACACCATGAAATTGCATGTCTCAGTGCAGTGGTTGAAGGCGGGTCTTAGTCATGGATGTGTAGCCAGTGTGGCTTCTGGCGACATGGCTTACTTGTCGGAGGCAGTGGTTGCGCTGGCGGCACGCACCCGCTGAGGATGCGCATGGAGAGTGCTTGCGCCTCGCGCGGGGTATCGAATGCGCGTGTGCGTGTTTGTAGGAGTCTTCGGTACGGCCAGACAAGAGATGGAACTAAGAACTGTGATGTTGACGCCGAATCCGTGGAGGCGCACAGGGCGAAGGGAGGATCGCAGGAAGGGGCGGGGAGCTAGAAACTCTGGGCTGGACAGCTGTTTGGAGAGCTATTTGTGCCGCGAGGGGCGCGGGCGGTGGTGGTGGTAGTGGTGCTGCTGCCACAGGCCGGCGGCCGGCGCTTTTGGGGAACGTGGGGAGTTTGGGAGGCGTGGTGGAGGAGAAGGAAGGGAGTTGAAAAGATACCAGATCTCGAGTGCGGAGGGGCGGGGATCGAAGACGGCCCCAGAGGGTCTCCGGAGACCCCACTGAAATTGCGCACCAGAGGGCGAGACGGCATCTGAGACGGTCCCTGTTCCACCTTGGCGCGGAGTTTGGGCGAGGAGGCGAAGACGGCCCCGGAGGGTCGACAAAGACGCCGAGGAGGGTCCAAGAAGGCCAATAAAGGGCCCGAACAGGCTCGGAAGACGACCCAAAAGGGCACCCGAAGGTGTCGAAAACAGCGGAGCGAACCGAAGAGGGATACGGAAATGCAGAAAGGAACACTCCGACGAGTTTTTGGGGCCTCAGAAGAGGGGCCCCCCGGGCGCGGCGAAGACGGCCCAACAAGGCTCCAAAAGGGCGGCCAGACGGCCGAAGATGGGTCCGGGAGACCTTCAGGACGGCCCGGGAGGCTTTGTAGAGATTCCAACGTGGCCAGAGAGGCCCCAGGAGCGGCGCAAGATGCTGCAAGAGAGTTCCAGGAGGCGCAAAGAGGAGGCCAAAACAACGAAACTCATAAAACTCCCTTTGGTTTTGAAGGTTTTTGGCTTCATCAGTTCTTCGGCGGAGCATGCCCCGAAGAAGGCCTCGAAGGGGTCCGAGACGGCCCCGGAAGGCACCGAGACGGAGCTAAAGAAACCCAAGAGGGCTCCAAGAGGCTCCGAAGACTGCGCATGAGGGTTTCCGGAGAGGTCCCGAACGGCGCCTGGAGGCGTCCGGAAATCTCCGGTGCGAAGGCCTGCTTGAGTTGAGGGCAAAGTGACCACCAGCGGACGCCCAGTCCGCAGCTTGGAGCCCCCTGGGCCGGCAGAATGAGCAGGCCCGGGGAGGACCCCAGGAGGGGTTGCCAGGGCTCTGAGGAAGGGACTTGATCCGAGGACTGCGCGGGCAAAGGGACATTCTTGCAGACCATGCGGCGGGGATCTCACACGCCGTGCCTGGTGGGGCGGCGGATCGCTTCGCTCATTCCGCCGGCCCACATTGCCTCGCCGCTTGGGGGCCGTGTTGGGGCCTCTTGGTGGGCTCTGGGAGGCAGTCTTGAGGCCTCTTGGGGGCCGTGTTCGGGCCTCTTGGGGGCCTCTAGGGGCTTCTTGGGGAGCCTCTTGGGGGCCTCTTGGGGCTGAGGGCTGGACTTTTCGGTTCCTGGTTCCCGTCTTGGGCCCCTCGTGGGGCCGTTTTGAGGCCCTCTTGGGCCATCTTGGGCGCCTCTTCGGCTGTCTTGGGGCCATATCGGGCAGTCTTGGGGCCATCTTGGAGGCTTCATGGGCCGTCTTGGAGTGGTCTGGGGGGCCTCTTGGGCCGTCTTGGAGCGCTGGAAAGCCGAAAAGGCGAGAAGGTCAAGATCTATTACCATCGTATAATTGACGAGTTGAGACTCTCGGGGCCCTCTTGGGGCTCTATTGGGAGGCCTCTTGGTGGCCTTTTGAGGTCTTGTACGCGTCGTGGGCCATATGGAAACCATCGTGGGTGTCTCGGGCCATCTGGAGACCATCTTGAGCGTCTTGGAACGATCCTTCTCGGCGACTCGGGGCCTCTTGGGCCGTGTAGGGGGCGTCCTGGCGCCCTCTTGGCGCGTTCCTGGAGCGCCCTGAGGGAGTCAGCTGGGCATCGCCCAGGCATCGCCCAGGGGAACTTTTCGTCCAGGGGTCTCCAGGGCCCGCCACGCGCGCGCGAACTGGAAATATTGTTAACCTGTTACCTGAGATCTTAGCACGCCTCTGGCCCGTTGGGCTGGCGAATTTCGGCTGTCTCTCGGCGGCTCTCTCGGCGTTGTCTCCATCTTCGGGATATGTTCCAGCAGCTGCGCCTCGCCGTCAACGTTCAAGGGATGCTTGAATCGGATCGTCCCGAACGGCCGCCAGAGGCCAGACGACAAGGATCATGTGGGTCGGACGAACAAAAGGGGTGGATTGACAAGGGGCGGGTAAGAAATCTTCTGCAGGCCAGGCAGCTGGTTTCGGGCCCTGCCGCCGGGCGCCGTTCCTCGATGCGCTGGCGCCTCCCAGCGCCCGAAAAACCAGTCACGCGAGTTGATTCCGCAGCCCCACTTGTCCTGCCCCCCCGTTCGTCCGCCCCGAATCTAAGAGAGCGAGATCTACAGCTTCGCTTGGACGGAAGCTCGCTGCTTTCTGCAAGGAGAGCAGATTATATCGATGTGCAGAGTGGAGGGGGCAGGTCAGGGCGCCCGAGTGAGCACCTGCCTTGCGGTTACCATGCCCTAGTCCGCCTACGGCGCGGCGGCCCCTCCAGGTAGCTGGAGGTTTCGGAGGAGTGGGGAGAGAGGAGTTACGAGGAGGAGCAGCTGGAGCAGGGGCACGAGGATGGGGAAGAGGAGGAGAACACGTTCTAACCGTGCAGATCAGCAGGTGCGACACTTACCTCGACCGACTGCTCGAGGAGGACGACCCCAAGAATGAGGTAGAGGATGAGTACAAGGCTAGCCTCTCTCCTTCGTTTCAGGATAGCGAGCGAGGGCCGACGACATGCACAGGGACGCCGTCTAAGTTTCGCTGTAATCAAGGTCGCTTGAACTCATTGCGGGATGAGCCAAAATGTGATTGGCGGCCCGAGGCCGAATTGCATTTGGGATGGGAAAGTTTGATTCGTCGTCCGTTACACCACAGCTTGGTAATTGATGTATTCAACCTCGGCGCAATCGTTTTTCTCATATCGTCTGAGCATAAGGTCCACGGCGCTTCTCTCTGGCAGGGATCCCCTTGGCTCGAAGCATGCGGCGTTCCGAAGAGCCCCATCCCCCCAATGCCCGTCCTTATTACAGCATCTCCTCATCATCCTTCTACTAATCTTGACCTTGATCCTCATCTCGATCATCCTCATCCTCATCGGGAAGGCCTCCCCATCATGCTTATACTAATGTTATGTCCCCCCTCAGTGATCTATGCTCTAGATCATGATTGTTGATCCTCGGCTTCGTCTGTCATACTGCTAGTTTGCGTGTGAATCAGATCCCTTCGTCGCGGTACCAGAAGAAGTCTTGGCACGGAGGCACGGCTGGGATTGTTTCAGATTGTTGCATCAGCAAAGTTCAGGATGTCCACCAGATTCATGGATGAAGGGCGGGTAGCGTTCGAATTCTCCATGCTTCGTGACGCTGCACAATGTGACCACAATGCGAGTATACGTAACCGCCGCCGCAACACGAGCTGCGGTCGTCAAGGAGGACGACCTCCTCACGAACGCCGACATGCAGGCGAACCCAGTTAAAGCATCACAGGCCCAAAATACTGAACTCAATACATGGCTTGGCAACACAAGTGTTGCAATATGCCATGTAGATCCAAAGCGTCAAACATCATGACTTCGAGGTACGCATGTTAATGGAAGGTCGTCAAGAACGAAAAGGCCGAGATGGAACGCACCATCAGATTACGTCTGGTACTTCGGGTTTTCATGGACTTCGAGGCTTTCGATGTGGAGACATTATCAGGAACAGCGCGGCGGTCAAGTCATATGTTACTCGCAAACACAGCAGCGTCCAAGAAGCAATGGGTCATTGCTTCCGTTGGCATCAACATGGCTTTCCTGAAAAGGGTTACCCTACCAGGAAGTGCGGTGTGCTGTACATCGGCGGCTGGATCAGCATCGGTGCCTCTACCCTTCCCAGGATTCGAGCACTACGATGAGTCGAAACACGGCTGACAGTGCCTCAAGCCAGGCACAGGCACCAAGGATGCGCCCAGAGCCTTCTCACTGAAGTTTAGAAAGACTGCGAGAGGCTTTGATCCCAGACCCACGTCCTACGACGATGAGCTTGAGGCAATCAGTAACCTTCTCACAGCAAAACATGTTGATGATATTAATATGGCCGGACTGGGGACACCATCGACAAGTGCGTCAAGTGTGTCGAGGACACGTTTGGCAAGTGTAAACTGAACGAACACACATATACCAATTGTGTGGTGAGACAGACCAAGGATGGGGACGGTAATCTGGATCAATATGAATACATCAAACAGTTCTGTCCTATACAACATCTTGAACTCACAGGCACAGACGCCGACGCCAAAGCATCAAAGATGGTTGTTGACATGTTTGTCTGCCTCAGAGGCGCATTGGCTTACGCATTCATCACACAGGTGTGGTCGATGGTATATGTGGTCTCTCTGCAACGTGTCCAAAAACCGACCAAACCTGCAGGCCTGCCCTAAGAAGATCGTCTATCGATCGATGGTTCCAACGGGCGAAGTTGACCTGCACAGGGACTCCGGCGATCGACGTCTTAGCGGAGATGCCGGTGACGAGGTAAAAGGCTATGGTATTCGTCGGGCAAACTTGCTACGGTGTGGAAACACGCCAAGCGGGACGCCTGTCGTCCATCTGATCGATGCGCACTGCAAGTTTTACCGCTTGCAAGTCCGCTCAAGCTACTCAGCAGAAACGCTAGCAGCAGCCCGTAATTTGAAGGACTGCTATCCCACGAGCGTTACCCTGCGCAAACTCCACGCAGGACCACTGACATCCACTCAGTTGAAAGTCATACTGGAGATGGGTGGCCTAAGCATGAAGGTCACTTTGACATTTGCCGGATCTGCCTGCATGTCTCTGTCACGCAGAGAGTGGAAAAATAAGCCGACCAGGTGTGCACTTGTGGGACACATCAGTTGGATACGACAGATGATGGAGCGAGATATCGCGCGTAGCATTCAGCGGCGTGACACTCGCGACGCGACTGCGGACGGCCACACAAACGGGAGCATTAAAAGAAACACGCCCCTACAGGTCACGGGAGGAACGCAATCTTTCAAGCATTATTAAAATCGCCATGCTCCGCGCCGGGCCGGTCAGACAACATCGTCTGAGGCCGCTTGAGTGGCAGTCGTTTATACAGCAATTTTCAGAGCGTGAATTGCCCCCCCCGCTTTCGCTTCCAGGCAAAACCAAGTCATACCACGCGCCTCCCTCCTCGTCAAGCGGCCTGGCCAGTACAGGCCGTAGTTTGGCATCGCTTGGCACCTCTTGGAAGCAAGGGTGGTCAAAAGCGAGGTAGGTTTGTTTGCCCCCTAAATTTGCTCGCAAGGCAATTTGCGCGCAAGGGCACTTGCTCGCGGGTTCACCTCCCTCGCGATCCCGCCTTTTGTTGCCCTTTGCACATGTAGAGTTTACTGCGTAGCGGTGGCGGCCTCACGCTTCGCCCCACGCCCCCCCACACACACACACACACACACACACACACACACACACACACACACACACACACACACACACACACACACACACACACACACACACGCACACACACACACGACTCTAAAGCGAGCTGGAACAAGGGCGAGAGATAGCGAGCGTTTGCCCCTGGCCGCTGGGGCCCACGCGGCCGGCCGGCAACGCGTGGCCGTGCCTCATCGCAAGGCGCGCGACTTGCCATCGAGACAGAAAACATCTTCGCTTGAGATGTCCCGTCGTTCCCGCGACGACCTCCGACTGGGACTATCGCTACTACGGCACAACAGAGCTGGAGTTGGGCTTCGCTCAGGGCGAAGCTGCCGGTCGGGCCCGGCCCCCTCTTAAATTATTACGCGCGGAGCCAGCGAGCCGCGAGCGCGCTTGCAGCACCGAACATGCGTCGAGGAAGTCAAAGAACAATGCTGCCCACGAGGGCGCAACAAATCTTGCATAAGGAACCGGGAGGATTTGCCGCCTGCCGACCAGACGCATGCATCGGGGCGTTTCAATTTGTTTTTTTTTTCAGCGCCAAGGCAGGCGCCCACGCTTCCGTTTGCCATCGAGGAAGGCATAAAGTGTAAGATCGATATGTTGTTTGTGGGTTGCAGGTCTGGCATATTTGTTCGGTGGCGCAGCGAAAGAAGAACTGAATGCATCATAAATGTGGAACGGTTTTTGTTTGACAAGACGCCGATGACCGACGAAAGCATGTCTGAGTTGAGGCCCTCCCAGGCTCGAGCGCCATCGAAGAAACCGCGTGATGGCCATGGCAACTTCGAGGATTCAAGGAATCAGTTCGGCAGCGAAATTGGCGAATGGAATCGGACATGCATATCATCGACTGCGCGCAGACAAAGGGCGTGACCCACGAAAGTTCAAAAGTTTAGGAGGTGGCGCACGCCTGTTTTGCAGGTGCTGCATGCCTGCATCAGACTCGGACACGGCGATTCAGCTTTGAAATTGTTCGACCAGGTGTTGAAGAGAGGGGCTGTGCCCAAGGCGCATCTCATTACTAAGGCCGTATCCCAGAAAGTATCCAAGTTTGTCGTTGACAAGTAAAAATAACAAGCGCATGCGGAAAGGCAGACTGGGCTTTTCGGCTTAGTTAAAGCTCGTGGGAACACACCGTCGCTTTCTATGCAGAACTGTTTGTTTCTGGCGTGGAAGAATGATTTTCTGCAGAGCGTCTTTGAGTATTTCCTGAAGATAAGGAGCGCAGGCATCATCCTCAGCAGATGGGCACATGGTGTCATCTTTCTGGTCAACGAGCGACCCGAACCAGAATTCGCATTCGAAGTTTTCAAAGAAATAGAACGACGTGGACTTAGTCCTCACCGGACAGTATAATGCAGCGTTGGGTGCTTGTTCTCAGCTCAGCATGGGCAACGAGGCCCGAAAGCGGTTCAATCGCATGGCCGACCGCGAGTTGGTGCCCAACGCAAAGCCCTTCGGCATCATGATCAAAATCGGCACGTCCGCTTTCTTACACGAGGAAGCCGTCGCCCTCCTTGAGAAGATGCGCGAGCAGCGTTTGGCGCCCGGTCGCTACGCATACCACCACGCAAAATGCTCGCGCATTCAACATTTGAGCACTAAGTGCGCCGTGGCACTGTACATAAACATGGTTCAGGCGAGCGTGCCAGTCTGCATGAACACGCACGACCTTCTGACCGGAGCACTCAAGGCGGTCGATTGGAAGCTGTCGGCAAGCAGGTTGATGGCGGACGTGGCGCAAGCGAAACAGGCAGACGCCGCGCGAGACGGCTAGCGAGAGGCAGGATTTCTTGTCCTAGACGCTGCGGGGCACCACGCGGGCTGCGCAATCAAACTTGCGGGCACTGAAGAGCCCCAGGCTGCGCAATCAGATTTGCGCCCTGGCTTTCGCTAGCACCCTCGGACTTGAGGCTCCGTCTCCGGCCTACAGGTGCTCGAAGATCATGGCGCCATGTGGTTCGCATTCTGGCATCTAGATGCGTTTTTCCCCAGAAGCCTCAAGGAACCGCGTCGCAAGCACGAAGGCATGGCGTCGCGTCGCGTCGCGCGCGTTGCTTTGTCGCGCCGTCCGAGGCGCGAAGGTGCGCGGAGGCCGCCCGCCTCTGCAGCGCAGGCGGCCCGATGCCTGTCTGCCTCGGCATGATATGTTGCGCACGCCGTCGAGAACTGATGCACAGATTGCACAGGCCTCCCCCTTCTTCCTCCTCCTCCTCCTCCTCTTCCGACTGGAGCCTGTATAAAGGTTTGGACGGTTTCAT